TAGTAATCTCATAAGCTTATGAAACATGTAAAACAAAATGGCTGGGCCCTTGAAATATATCCAGCTTACAATAACAATAAAAAAAAGGAAATACAGAGTCTATATTGTGGCGGCCACTCTATCTCAAATCACAGTACATAAAGGAGATAGAATGATATTTAAATATGTAATATTAAATCCTTAACCTCCAGACTAAAAGACGTTTTTACCTGTGTTTGTATCCTTTGAAATATGACTGTCAGGGAGAAATGCGATATAATGCCATTAGGACCGTACAAAAAGGCTGATAGTAAACAATATAATAAATTAAACGGTGAGGCTAATTAAAGAATGACAAGTCGAAAGTAAAATCTCCCAATTTTACCTCGACCCAATCTCGATAATGCCGAGATTCATTTTTTACCCACGATACGCTCAAAACAAACACTTACCTCATTTGACACCCCACAGTTATTTTATTTGTGTTTAACAGCGAGACCTTTTTCGTTAATACAAAGAAAATTACGCCCCACAAAATTCTATAATAATTATTGATAAACATTACAAAAATGTCAGGGGTGCAACAAAATCAGAATTTTAATCCAGATAGAAACCTGACGATATTCCCAGGCAATAATATAATCAAACGCTATTTAAATAATACAGAAACGAAGCAATAATTAACGACCGTAGGCTTTAGATACAACTTGGCAGCATGGAGTCAGTTATTAGACTTTAATATTTGACCTTGGAATATTTGTATGGACCAACTGAGTTTACAGCGTTGCCTGTTTTATTACAACTCAAATGCTGAGATACCACGGATGGAGATACATTTTCGGAGAAGATGGTACTGTAGCTTTTATCACTTTTCATTTGCATTTAAAATACTATTTTACAACGCTCGAATCGCTGTGACGTCTTAAATCAAGGCCAACACAATTACGGTTTTAACTTTGTAGCTTATGATTTATTTTTTTATATACAGGGCAAACCAAAATCTCGTAACGAATTCAAGCTTTGTTTTAACATTTCTTTCCAGAACGTTGAATTAATTAAATTGATAGATTCGTTTGGAAGTGTTCCTGGAAACGGATGTAAAGCCATTAAAGTCATTTGAGCACAACAATGAGGTAACTGGGCAGGTAGAATTGCCCTCTTGGTTCATAAAGTAATAAGTGATGTCTCGTCAGGGGGTAAAGTATAAGGTAAACGATCTATTTGTGGCCACGAATGCAGCCACGAAGAAAATTACTTTCAGACCGAAGATTTACAGTCAGGTGCAGGCATTGAATAGGTCCGATGAATTCGAAAAAGTACGATTGGGCAATTTGAGGTGACGGCACACCAAACCAGATGGTGTGGCGCCAGAAATAATAATTTAGTATATCTTCTATTCATTATTTTCATGGATTCCGTAGGATTTCTCATAAGCTCGATTACAGATACCTGTGGGTGTATTTATTTAACTAGCGTCTTCGTAACAAGATAATGTTCTTTTCTGCAAAATTTGCACATCGAGAAAGAAATTGAAAAAAAGGAAAACAACATTTATCTTTCGTCAAAATTGAAGTTAAAATTGAGTATAAAAAGATTCCATTTCAGAAATATCTATTGAAGTATGAAGAGCTCCTATATAAGTCTGGCAGATGAAAAACTGTCAGAGACTTCTAAATTTGTCACCAAAAGCAGAAACATTATTTCTGAAGATTATCTGTCATATAATAAAACAGTGAAAAATAGTACAAGATGTTTTTCAAGTTGTGATTTTTCTTTTAACTTGACATAGAACTCAACGAAATAAGCAAATTTGTTTAATAAACATAACTGGTGACGAGTGGGATTTTAAACAGTACTTGCATAATTTCGGTGTTTAAAATGACCCTTAATTGCAATAGCGATCAATTAATTCATATATTAGTTTACGCGGAGTGTCACCAAAGCGCTACCATAGCATCACGATAGTTATGCTAAGCGTTTTCCTTTGCGGTTTCATCTGGCAGCTCGTATAGGCCAGGAAAATAAGCTGGGAAATGACCATTTCGCAACATTTTGTTTCGGCAAGCTGAATTTATCACTATAGATGCTAAATATTATATACAATAACATATTAGTTTCCACAGTCATAAAAATGGGGGGAAGATTGTTTACAGGGTGGTTAATTGTTTAATTTTTACGTAAATTCACGTTTTTCGCGTATAACTTTTTTCCGTTCATTTCCACGAGAAAACAGTTAAGTACTTTTTTTCGTCTTCAAACGATCTACAAAACTAGCCCTCGAGCGTCAAAAAATATTGTTTAGATCAAAAGTTATAAACAGAAGAAGTGTATTTATGACTTTTGAATTAAACATTTATAAACTGCGTTATTATTACCAGAACGTTTTGGCATCGCATCCTCTCATTCCTTATCACTGTCTAATAACTCGCACGGAATGATTTTTTTCATGGTAGATTTCATAATAATTCATTGAAATCTATCATTTTTTTTAAATTTCAAATTTGCAACCTGGAAAGTTTTGTTATTTTTTAGCCTTAGTTGCAAAATGAAATATACGACGCACGAGCAAGATATAGTTATATACTATTACATATTCGGAAAACTTATGAAAAGAGCTTTAAGCTAAAAAAATCGTCAAGATTCGTTGAACAATGATAATATATGCATAACTATACCACGTTCGTGCGTCGTATATTTTATTTTGCAACTAAGGCTAAAGAATAAAAAAAAAAATTCCAGGTTGCAAATTTGAAATTAAAAATAAAATAATAGATTTCAATGTATTGTTATGAAATCTACCATGAAAAAAATCAGTGCGATTGTGGAAGATCCTCGGGATCGTCCAGATTAATAATTAGTTAATTTGTTTATAAGGCCATAACTTCTAAACTATTCAACTTACCGATTCCAGATTTCGTGTGAGTTATTAGACAGTGATAAGGAATGAGTGGATGCGATGCCAAAACGTTCTGGTAATAATAACGCAGTTTGTAAATGTTTAATTCAAAAATAAAGTTCTTCTGTTTATAACTTTTGATCTAATCAATATTTTTTGACGCTCGAGGGCTAGTTTTGTAGATCTTTTGAAGACGAAAAAAAAAGTACCTTACTGTTTTCTCGTGGAAATGAACGGGAAAAAAGTTATAAGCGAAAAACCTGAATTTACGTAAAAATTATACAATTAACACCTGTAAACAATCTCTCCCTCATTTTTGTGACTGTGGAAACTGATATGTTAAATGTGTGATAAATTCAGTTTGCCGAAACAAAAAGTCGCATCCTACTCTATATTTCCTGGCCTACGTAGGGTTTGTTTATTTTGTTCAAAGAGCTCGAGAAACATGACATAAAATTATACAGGGTGAGTCAAAATTCACTCCCCAGCGGCCGGATATATATTCTAAAATAAAAAATAAAACAAAAATGTAGAATACTAAAATCTCGAAAGCGAATTTTTGCGTGAACATTTTGCCAGGTTTGTTAGAAAATATTCCTCTACAACAACGTGCAACTATGTGGTTTCAGCATGATGGTGCGCCCGCACATGCCACATTACAAGTACGACATATTTTGAACCGCCGTTTTCCTAATAAATGGATTGGATGAGGTGGATCAACACCATGGCCACCCCGGGCTCCTGACTTGACTCCGATAGACTTTTGGTTATGGGAATACAGAAAAGAAAAGGTTTATGTTACTGTGCCTGTTGGCGGGGATGATATTATTGACAGGATTCATAAAGCAGTAGCGGAAATAAATGAAGCTAATTTCTGTTCTGTTGCCAGGAGTTTCTACTATAGATTGCAGAAATATATTAACGAAAATGGTAATGTTTTTGAAGGTTAGCCAAAGCCAGAAGGATCTTTGTTTTTGCTATTTCTTATTTTGTATGGATTTTAATGGTTTTATTAAACAAAAAAATTATAAATTTGAATTTTTCTTTACAAAATTTTCCGAAAACGGCTTCGTTTTCGAGATTTTAGTATTCTACATTTTTGTTTTATTTTTTATTTTAGAATATATATCCGGCCGCTGGGGAGTGAATTTTGACTCACCCTGTATAACGTGAAAACCATATTATGTTTTTTTAAATTTACCTCAAAGGACGAAACTACTACGCTAAAGTGAAAACCCCAAAACGAAGCCAAAAACGGGACCTTCTTTTGAAAAAATACTGATGATTGAAATAGAACTGATACTGCTTCTATTTAGAGGAAAGGTGGTCAAATGTCCATCCATACAAGAAAATGTAACCTACATACCTTCATTAAAACCCGGTAAAATGCTGTTGGACTTAAAATTTTAAAAAATTGCCACTAAAACATGTATCCTTTGTACCCCAAATTTTAATTAACTCTGATGTCAGTTGTCAAATTAAATTTTGATTTTATTCACAGCTGTCCAGCTGCTATCAGAAAACCTACATCACCACAACGTTACAAGTTGAAGAAGATGTTTTAGATACTGTTGATGAAGATCCAACAACTAGTACCATACATACTGCACAACAGGTAGTCTCATACCATACTTTACCTGAAGATCAACCATTGATACTACAGAACACCTTAATAGTAGGGCAGTAGGTTCAGACAAAGAATGAGCTCCGGTGCTAGTCTGGTAACATTGCCTCTACACAACTGAAACTTGCGAATAAGATGGATTTGATCAAACTGTAGGACTACTTAAGGATGTATCCTCAAATGTAAGACAATTCATTTTAGACGTGAAATGCAAAATTATCTAAATAATGAATTTCCCAACAGGTAGATAAGCCTGCCTCAGTATCATGGCCTCTAAGTCTCCAGATTGTGATCCATGTAATTTGTTCATCTTTAGTGACTTCCCTAAATTATGAGGTTAGTTCTTTGTTCTGGTTGTATGTTCTATGTCATGTTAAGAAGAAAACTTAGACCTAAAAACACCTTACGTAGTTTTCCAACAATTGCCTCCAGTATCTTCAAAAAGTATTTGATTATAGAGATTTAAATCGTTTTTAAATGAATGTAAACTTGAAGATCAACTCACCTGAGGCCGACGACGTTCACCCCGACATCGTCCACTAACTCCGAGAGCACTAACACCGTAGTTCCCGGTACTTGAGCCTGGGGATACTGGAGCAACCCTTGGCCGTTGCCCTGGAGCACCACGGAAACAGTTCCCTGGGGACTTCCCGCGTCCCCACTAGAATTCACCATGGCACTGGCGTTACCATCGATAAGCACGTCTGCTATTTGCTGACCGTGGATTTGGTGCGCGCTTATATTGTTGATGGTGATCTCCCCCGAGTTATCAGCAGAATATATTTCCAAACCCTTCTGGTCGGGCGCCGTTGTGTAGATGACGGTCTTGTTCCCATCCTCGTAGATCAAATCTATGGGCGTGTCGTTCTTATCCGAAATTGCTTGAGCGTATATGTCCTCGTCTTTGTCGTAGAGGACTTCTGTCTTAACCTGAGCGTACAAGGGAGGCCTCCCTATGGCACTTTCTTCCTCCATCTCCTTCTTGAGCTCCATGACGTTGACGGGCGTCATGGTTGCCAGCATGGCGGGCGAACTGGGCGCCTCCCTTTGGGGGGACCTCTCGGCGGGGGAAGCTTGAGGCGGTGGTGGCGACATCATGCCGTGGTCCGTTTCCACTGACGGTGAAGAGTTGGAGGATAAGTCGTCGATCTGACGTCTAGTCATTATGGCATCGGAGTCTATATCACAGAGTCACTTATTGCACTTGTTTACAATGTTCAAGTTATGGCACTTTTATGGCTGAAGTTGGATGCCAGCGGAGAGCGGCCCAGACTTACGATCAACCTGCAAAACAAAAACGCCGTCATATTTTCTGGTATTTAGATAGTTTTCTAAGCTTTTAAGAAATTTTATAGGAAAGAATAACGTAAGAAGATGCAGAAACAACATATCTAATTTTCAACAACTATCGGCTTTATGGCGCCCAACCAAGTTTGAATAACTAATAAAATTAAAAAAAGAAACATAATTTGTAGGAAATAAAGACAATTTCTGTCAACTTTATGAGATTTTTAACACATTCAATAGATCCCAGAAAATTCAGAAAGAAATTTTGATAAAACGCATAATATTTTAGCACAAGACAAAAATATAGTTTCCAATAAGAACTATAAGTTTCTTTTAAAAAAACGTGTACTTTATTAATAGTCCCCGCATTTTTTTATTCTGTTATAAAGCTAATTCAAATTAAAATATGTATATACTCTATAGTATCTAATAAATAGTTCGTAATAATAACTTAGCAAGATTGAAAATAGGAAAGCAAGAATGCAGGAGTTTCGTATTATTTAACAATTTTACGTTAATTATATTTAGTCATTGTCTTATTTTCACAACAAAATAAACAGTATATAACTTCCTGTACGAACTATCGGTTTTCTGGCGCCCGAGGTGGGGGCTTCCGGGTAATTCCCGTGACGAGCGAGTATCCCAGCCGGCCGGAACGCCCTGTAGTTGCCCATAAGACACGCACGTGTGGAAGTTACTACAAACGATTCATCTTTACTACCGGTACCGGTTTAGATCAACTCTATTATTTTAGATCCAAAAAAGTGTGGCTGAAGAGGAGTCCGTGCTGGTGTTGCCGGTTCCACAGCCACAGGCACGGGCAGGGTAGTGGAGCGGTGTCGAGAGAGTACGTACGCCAGACGGTAGCAAACCGGAACCACCACGTGCCAAAGCCGGGACAGGTTTGACAGCCATATGGGACGCCGTTGCGGATCCTTGTTAGACTGCCGGCTAAACATCGGGTTACGGAATCATCTCCGAAATTTTCCCCGGAAAAAAATGAGCAAGTGTTTCGCAATCAAGTAATCGGTGTTTAGGTTATTGGAATAATGTTCGGGGACATCTACATCATTTAGAGAGGGGAAAATTATAGTCGACTAAATTTGTTTATAATTACCTTTAATGATTTTCAATGTAAATGCTATTTATACGAACGTAATATTTTGTTAAACTGTCATTATTTTGACTAAACGTTTACAGCAACAAAAATAAAATATAAAAAAAAAAATTTTTAGGTGATTTGTAAGTTGGCGGGAAATGGTCGCTCAGTTATAGAAAAAGCAAATTTCAGGATCTGAAAGTAAAAAGTTTTGATCGTTGACCACTTTTAACACTTAATAAGAAATTAATTTTTTCAAATTTTTGCTTCCGTTTCAAAAGGTCCATGGACTTCAAAAATTGTTTCTGGCAATCCCATGTATCTGCTGTTTTAGTTTAGCAATCAGGGCAAATATAGACTATAATAAATTTTGTATTTTGTACGGGCATAAAATGGAATGATTTTTACAATTCAGTTTTCGAAATCGGTGCGTGTCATTCTCAAAAATAAATAGCACTATAATTTATTTTCAACTTCCAGAAGATCTTCAGAATGTTGTACTATTTTCAGAATGTTGCACTATCTTTTTTGATAAACTTTTGTTTAGGGAAATTTCTGTTTAGTTTTGTTTTGTTTAGGGAAAGTTTAGTTTAGTTTAGTTTTGTTTAGGTGACCTTTTGTTTAGGGAGAGCAAAAAACATTTAATTAACGTTTTGTTTACAATCAAATGTTTTGTTTTTGCATCCGACGTTCGTTTAAAGACATTTGTATGTAAAAAGGTGTGTAGATTTAGACGCATCATACGATATATCCCATAAAATAAAATATAGACTTGATTTTCAAGCGAAGTGGAGCGTATTCCGCGACGCATAATGGATCTCTCCCACGTGTTTAATTTAGCCAAGATAACCGTGCATTGTTTACTGGTTGGATGCACTGTTTATCGGGTCAGCAATGCATTAGCATACTCGGGGCTTTAAAAGTTGGAATGCGTACAGTTAGTCAAAAGAATCCAGGAACCGGTTCGGACACCCCCTCGGCTGCTCACTATACGCCAGACGCCACACAGAATCAAGTGAAAGTCATAGGTCGAACGCTGCCATTGCGACAGGTAGCTGAGCCCTTGATTACCAGGAAAAAAAACAGCAATTCCATGGTAGTATGAAAAGTCAAGTTGTTTAATTAAAGGACGCCAGTGGTTGCCAACATTTTCGTTTGTCACTCACGGCCAACAACAGCCAAGCAGCGAAGAATAATTGAAATATCGTCACAGTCCATTCAAAACAGAAGCGAAAATCTTGGGAATAGAAGAGAGTAATTAGACAAGAAATATACGAGTAAATAAAATAACAATTATTTTGAGAATGTTTCTTAATTTTTACCACCTAGTTATTTCTTAATAGACGGTTTTAGTGGATGTGCTGAAAAGGAGCGTTCAGCAGCAGAATGGAAGCTTCCTTTCGGAATTTCAGCGGACGTTTATTATCAGCGTCCTCCATAGCTTCGGCTTTTTTCCAAACGAGCCTATTTGATATGCACAGCCACGTCTGAGATTTAAAATTCATGTTCGAGCCAGTGAATTGGGATTGGCCGCAGATTCGATGTTCCCGCCGATTGGACGTTCAGGCCGATAGTAATTAAATATTCTGGGCGTGTTATCATGTGACAACGCAGCAGCCTACAAGAACAACAACAACGTCCCCGTGCGAACTCTCAGAGCACCGCTGATCTTCCGAATCCTGAGATTCGCAATTCGATAGTTGGCCGAACCCCACAAACGTAAAAACAAACTGTATTAACATTCGAGTAGTTTAAATCGAGGGAATAGTAAATAGGAATTTTTTTAATGTCGTATGGTGTAGCGCAACGATAGCTGCAGATAATGAAGAGGAAATGGGATACCAGGTCTGTTTTATGATCTCTGAAGGGATATATAACAGATACAGAATTCGCAAATGAATGAAACAGTTCCTACAGTTTTTAATTGGCTGATTCCGTATTGGATAATTGTAGTACAGTTCTGAATTAAATAATTATACTACAGTTTTGAATCAAACAATTTCTATTTTGAATTAAATAATGGAAACTGGTAGTAAAATTTGTGTAGTAGCGCAATAGCAGTCGAACATAGTGAAGTGGAAATGGGCATAATAAAATTATACTACAGTTTTGAATCTAACTATTACAATGTTTAATTACATAATAGAAACTGTAGTAAAATTTCAGTAGTTTAAATAGTGGAAATGGGAATAATAGGATCTGCTCGACAGTATTTACAAAATTCGTAAATAAGTAAAATTTTTTATGAAATAATTACTACAGTTTTTTAAACATAAAAACATAAAACACACCACAGAAATGAGATTTTTGAATGTAGTAATCATTATACAGTTTTGAGTGGAATAATTTTACAGCAGTTCTGAATCGAACGATTACTGTTTTGAATTAAATAATAGAAACTGTAGTAAAATTTGTGTAGTAGCGCAATAGTAGTCGAACATAGTGAAGTGGAAATGGGCATAATAGAATTATACTACAGTTTTGAATCGAACTATTACAATTTTTAATTAAATAATTGAAACTGTAGTAAAATTTGAGTGGATTAAATAGTGGAAATGGAAATAATAGGATCTGCTTGAAAGAGTGTACAGTATTTACAAAATTCGTAAATGAAGTAAATTTTTTTATCAAATAATCACTACAGTTTTGAATGTAATAATCATTCTACAGTTTTGAGTGGAATAATTTTACAGCAGTTCTCAATCGAATAATTACTGTTTTGAATTAAATAATGGAAACTATAGTAAAATTTGTGTAGTAGCACAATAGCAGTCGAACATAGTGAAGTGGAAATGGGCATAATAGAATTATACTACAGTTTTGAATCGAACTATTACAATTTTTAATTAAATAATTGAAACTGTAGTAAAATTTGAGTGGATTAAATAGTGGAAATGGAAATAATAGGATCTGCTTGAAAGAGTGTACAGTATTTACAAAATTCGTAAATGAAGTAAATTTTTTTATCAAATAATCACTACAGTTTTGAATGTAATAATCATTCTACAGTTTTGAGTGGAATAATTTTACAGCAGTTCTGAATCGAATAATTACTGTTTTGAATTAAATAATGGAAACTATAGTAAAATTTGTGTAGTAGCACAATAGCAGTCGAACATAGTGAAGTGGAAATGGGCATAATAGAATTATACTACAGCTTTGAATCGAACTATTACAATTTTTAATTAAATAATAGAAACTGTAGTAAAATTTGAGTAGTTTAAACACGGTGGAAATGGGAATAATAGGATCTGCTTGAAAGAGGGTACAGTATTTACAAAATTCGTAAATAAAGTAAAATTTTTTATGAAGTAATTACTACAGTTTTGAATGTAGTAATCATTCTACAGTTTTGAGTGGAATAATTTTACTGCAGTTCTGAATCGAATAATTACTGTTTTGAATTAAATAATGGAAACTGTAGTAAAATTTGTGTAGTAGCGCAATAGCAGTCGAACATAGTGAAGTGGAAATGGGCATAACAGAATTATACTACAGTGTTGAATCGAACTATTACAATTTTTAATTAAATAATAGAAACTGTAGTAAATTTACAGTGGAAATGGGAATAATATGATCTGCTTGAAAGAGTGTACAGTATTTACAAAATTCGTAAATGAAGTAAAATTTTTTATGAAATAATTATTACAGTATTGACTAGAATAATTTTACTTCAGTTCTGAATCGAACAATTACTGTTTTGAATTAAATAATGGAGACTGTAGTAAAATTTTAATAGTTTCAATACAGTCAACAATAAATTTTAGTTTTTAAAATGATGTATGATGTAGCGCAATACTTTTCTTGTTGAAGATAGTGAAGTGGAAGTAGGCATAGAGATTCTGGTTTAAGGTAGTTAATTAAGGAATGTACAATAGATACAAAGTTCGTAATTAAATTAAAATGTTTAATTAAATAATAACTACAATTTTGAATCCAGTAATTATACTACAATTGTTGCATAATGGTACTATAGTTTTGAGTCGAATAATAAAATAATGGAAACTGTAGTAAACTTTGAGTAGTAGTGTTATGGCGTGATGATTTTCTGGTAGAAGATAGTGAAGTGGAAATGGGCATTTAATGGGCATCGTAGAAAGCGGTAGAGGAGCGGCGCCAAAGACGAGCCCCGGCAGGCAGAGGACGACGGTTGCGACGTTGCTCGTGCAGATTTGAAGCACCAGCAGGTAAACTAGTAGGGGCGTAGCAAGTCGCCATTCAAGACTAAGTGTGAGCAATAGTTGATGAACAGGTCTGCCAGCTCTCGGATAACAGGTATTATTGTAATCATTCAATATTGAAAACAACTAGGTGTGAGTGAGCATGCTTCCCGTGCGGGCCGGTCTGTGACGGCGACAAGTCGTTTTCGTGTGACACATGAGGCGAGAGTGTTAGTTTGGCGGCAAGCAAGGAAATAGAGCAAAAGCTTTTAACATGCGTAAATAGGTGTTTGGCATACCTATCGGTGCAGCCGCGAATCGTGGGTCGTCGAATCCCTTTGTTTGGCCTCGGACAGTCACAAGGGCAAGAGCAGCATGACGACGAGTCCGGCACTACACGACACGGACACACTGCCCGACAGAATCATGCTCGCCACTCTCTGACAACATGCATTATCCAGTAATGGCCAGGGTTCTATATTCAATCACATACTAGCGTCTACAGGTGTTTCGAACTAATACTCTACTGACTGTTAGTTGCGGCGGCTTAAAGTTGATCGCAAGTACGAACCGACGTGCGCGCAGCTTCGGTCAGCCGGTCTTCGGAATCGTCTATCTCCGATGAGAGAAAGACTAAGGTAGGCGCGTCTTTGATTGATTCCGAGCCCGCTCGCTGCGTTCGGAGCTCCGTTCAGCCTCTGGTCCCCCGCGGTTAGTTCGGCCACGGCGCTCGATCTCTCTCTCTGTCTGCCTCACGCCGCCGCCTATCCCGGCGGAGATACGTGGGAGGCTTGCCGGGCGCGTATCGCCGTTCCCCACCCGCCCTTACCAACACGAATTACGTCCATAGCGCCGACGCTGTTTGCTCTGCTCGAAATCGCAACAAAAATATTTGTTTACATTATTTCATAGATTTCAAACCGTATCTTTGAACAGACGCATTCCTCTGTGTATCACAAGCGTGCGCGTTGCCGTGAATTTTCATTTTCAGTTACAAGTGGCTCGTCTCACGATGTCGATCGCCGTGTGCGTGTCGGGTACGGGAATACGCTGCCGGCGGGCTGGTGGGTCTCCCGGCGTCCGCGTGAGGGCGCCACGGGTCCGAAATCATGGCCGCTACCCAGGTATCTCACCTCGAAGACGACCATGTGGAAGAAAAAGACAGCGACATATTCACCTGCATGACTTGACGATACAACCGACTTCTATACCCTATGGCAACAACGGAGGAGGGAAGCAAAACGTCCGAAAAAAAGAATGACGTAAAATAGAACAATAAGAAGTAAAAGTATAATCCCAGACATGCCTCGAGCTATCTCAGAATTCTTAAATAAAAGTCGGAGCTGCGTGCATGCGATCTACGCAGCGTCTTTAGGCCGTCTTAACTACTACCGATCTGGCTACCGGAGGCGGATATTTTGCCAGAAAAAAACTACATTTCGTGACAGACCAAACTCAGACGGACTGCTAGACGAGGTAGGTAAATGCTTGCTGAACCAATTTCAAACCACAACGCACGACAGTGCCTATAAAAGAAAAAGTTATGTCTCTTCATTAAAAACGGTAGTGCTTACGAAATGAATCACGGAGTGACTTCCATGCTTTATATGAAAAATGTAGTAAGAATCTGTGTAATTACTCCGTCCAATATCCTTTGTATTATCAAAGAGCACGCAGTCATTCAGAAGCAGAGCCTATAAACATTTAAGTGCTTGTAAGTACTATGTTTAGTCACAATTTTTATCGTAGATCTAGTTGTTCGTTAGGCAGTGGAAGGATTTCAACGGCAGGTCAAGGCAAGAACGTATCCTAGTTGATTCATAAATTTTAACGTTGCGAAATTTTCAGTGAAACTGTTTTGCTCAATTTTAAATACATTATTCAAGTTGGAGAACGTTACGGTCATAGGTCATCCGCATTTAAAATATTAATACCTTTTTTTGCACAATCAAAGTAGGTATGTTGCGGGCTTCTAATTCTGCATTAGTATCTAGGTAAAAAAATACAGGTAAAAACAGTAGATACTTCAATTTTAATAAATTTTCTACATTCTTGTAATTAATAACTTTTATTGTAATTATTTGTGCAATTTTGATTTTTTTGCGATTTTCAACCAAACTATAAAAATACGTACCTCTAGATGTTTTTGTTTAGAATTTGGGTATTTTCATATTTTTATGCTATTTAAATATTCCTTGATTATACAGGGTGTCCCGAATTTCATGAAACAAAATTTGGTCATAGATTCTTAAGACAAATTTAGGGGACCCGTTTTGCCAACTGGCCCCCTCTTTCGGAGTTACAGCCCCTTGAAATCTGCCCCTAGGAGGTCTTTTTTATATCTCAAAACCATGTTGTACGAGAATCACTAAATTTGGTACACAGGGATTTTATGACCTGTGAAATCTCACAGTGCTACGCTTTTTGGCGAGAAACCCCCTCAAGACACTTTTTCGTGGTGCCCCTTGTCTTTGGAACCAAAAAAATTTTGTCGCAAATTTGATTTTTTTTTAAATTATTAGTTAGCTAGAAAGCCATTGAATTTAGAAACTTTTTTGTCTCTTGATATTTGATTCATAAAACGCAATGTTTTTGAGGAAAATGGCGAAAATATGCATTCGATCACATTTTGACATTTTTCTCGAAAATATTGCGTTTTACGAAAAAAGTATAAGGAGACAAAAAGTTTCTAAATATAATGGCTTTCTAGTAGACTGATAATTTTTAAGAAATTTAAATATGCGACCAAATTTTTTTGGCTCCAAAGGGGCCCACGAAAAATTGTCTGAAGGGTGTTCCCCGCCAAAAAACGTAGCACGATCAGATTCCACATGTCATAAAACCCCTGTGTACCAAATTTAGTGATTCTCGTACAACAGGGTTCTAAGATATAAAAAAAAGATTATTCTTAGGGGCGGACTTCAGGGGGCTGTATCTCTGAAAGAAGGGGCCACTTGGCAAAAATAAAAAATACGGGTCCCCTAAATTTGTCTTAAAAATCTGTGACCAAATTTTGTTGCATGAATTTCGGGACACCCTGTATAACATAGCTCATAATTATTTTTTCTCAGAAAAATTTCAAATAATTCTCCAAACCATCCAAATACTAATTAGTTGTGCAACCTATTTTTTTTGTGATTTACTGTGAAAAACTGACATCAGCGTTTTCAGCAGGTCCCATTACATATCTCTGGATGTTTTTATCGAGAATTTGGATGCTTTCTTTTTTTCAGAATCTTTGAAATTTTTTTTTGGCTACAGCCCATCAAAATTTTTGCCAATTAAAATTTTTTTACAAGGAAAATTTTTTCCTAGAAATTGTTTTATAAAATTAGTTTATGACTAAAGCTTGACGGGAAGGAGATATTTTATTTCTTTCCAATTTTTCTATCTTAGCGCGAAAATCATATGTTCCAGAACTTATTTAAGACTAAATTCGAATTCCTCGCACCGGATTAGTGTATCACGACAGATTATTTGTTTGTGCGACCTGTTGATAACCATGATGTTGCAGTACTATAGCCTTATGATTTTTTTTCCACTAAACTATAGAACATAGAAAAAAATTGACATCACCAGCGTTTTCAGCGGGCCAAAATACGTGTCTCTGGACGATTTTGGTGTAGAATTTAAGTACTTTAATATTTTGATAATTTTTTAAATTTATTCCTGGCTCATGAAAATATTTGACTAAATTTTTTTTTTCTCTAGGAACATTCTGAAAAAATCACGTAGACTAATTCGATCCTCCTATCATTTCTAAAATTGGTTTACAAGTAAAGCTCGACTCGAAGGAGATATTTGTATTTCTTTCCAATTTTTTTGTAGTAGCTTGAAAATTCTTTGTTCTAGAAGCAGTTTGGGGCCAAATTGGAACTCCTTCCACAGGATTAGTGAGCCGAAACAGATTAGTTAGTTGTGCAATTTGTTGATACTATGATGTTGCAGTACTATACTTTTATTATTTTTTTTTAGAATTACCATCAAACTATGGAACATAGAGAAAAACTGACATCACCAGCGTTTTCAGCGGGCCAAAATACGTACCTTTGGATGGTTTTGTCTAGAATTAAAATTTTGACAATTTTTTTTAATTTTCCTGGATTATACAGGGTGATCCATTAACGGCACGGAGCAGCTGTATATAGGAAAATCTATTAACATATACTGCCAAAAGAAATTGATTTAAAATATTTTCAAGTTTTAACGTCACCGCTAGGGGACGCAACTGCTGTAGTATTACGTTTTTTTCGAAATTTCGCTTATATAACCTAAGTTGAAAATACACTTTTTAGATACCCTGTTAAACCCTTCACAAATTTTGTTTGAACTTTTTTTTTGTTATTACCATAGCAGCGCCAATATGAAATTTTTAAATTGTCATAACTTCTAAATGCCTTAATCGATTTCAATAAACTTGACTCACTTTAAAAAACTATTAATAAAATTTATATTTATGATATGGGAATAAAAATATTATTATCCTGCGTAACGGTAGACAACGCTAATCAGAAAAGTTTTGTAATCGTCTCCTTTTACTAAAAAAATTAAATGCAACGATACCTATAGGTTGTTTTTCATGGCTTGATAGTCCATTTATTAAGGAAAACAAATACATAAACCGGAGGTCGATATATTTGTTCGTTTTTATGTTATTGCTAAAATAGTGGAAGTTGTGCTAGAACATCCTCATTTATTTAGTTCTCTAGATAACATTGACATAGTCTAAGCCAAAACGAAATTGTAAAACTATACCAAAAAAGTACTTGCTATATTGTACAATTTTTTTGATAACTGCAATGTTTCATTTTTTCATTAATTCCAAATATCTGAGTATTTATAAAGATTATTTATTGTTTCCATAACGAGGCAGGCCTCTTATGAAAATAGACAACTGAAAAATTATGTCAAACGATATGTGACAGCTCTTGCTTCGTGCAAAATTAGTGTCATTTTTGTGAGAAAAGTACTTGGGTTCCATATGAAATTTCCAGGTCTCTAACTCCCTAACACTTATTTGGAGATTTACATGAACACAAGCCAATAATAATAATTAATAATATTATCTTCCGTTCTTGCACTGCGATGTCTTCTTACAGAATGTAGTGGCGTTGGCTAAACGCTGAAATACTTCTCTGGAGTAGCGTATTCTACGAGGGTATCGCAAAGCGTATTCTCTTGAAGCTATAACGGCATTTTCCAAACATTGAAAATAAACTGCCAACATATCATACGCTTCCACATTCGTAAAGGGCATTTTCCTTGTTCACAAGTACTTTTCCAACAAAAAAAACACTGATTTTGCACGTAGCAAGGGCTGTCACTTTCGTTCGACCTAATTTTTCAGTTGTCTATTTTCATAGGTCAATAATCTTAATAAATACTCATATATTTCTAATTAATAAAAAAATGAAAAATTTTACCTAAGTATTAAAAAAATTTCAAAATAAAGCAAGTACTTTTTAAGGACAAGCTTAGTTAGTTTTACAATTTAATTTTGTCTTGGACTATGTCAATGTTTTTAGAGAACTAAATAAAGGAGGATGT